TCACGTCACGCCGCAGCAGACGGGGAATCCCGTACGGAGTCCTTACGGGCACGCTTGGTGCAAAAGACGCAGAGCTCGCTGCAGTCAGTCAGTCAGTCAGTACGGGCAGCGGCAGAAACGCTGGTGTTGCGGCGTCCGGTTTGTTTCGTCGTTCGTTCGAAGCTGAGTGTCGAGCTTCCAAAGTGCAGGGATGACGAAAGGATCCGTCATCGAAATTCTACAACCCCGGCCGACAAGAAGAAAAAAATTGGAACGGTACGAGCAGTATTAGGGAGCTGGAGCCCGCTGTCAGGGAAGAGAAGAGCGGATTTGAAGCGTCAGGTCAGCAGAGCAGCAGGTCAGGCACGCGACGTGGCCCGACAGCGTCCGCAGCGCCTCCGACGGCGATGGAGCAGTCTTGTGGAGGATTTGGAGAAGCAAAGAGGAGATTCACAGCGAGCGACTTGCTTTTGAGGGGTCTGGAAGTGGTGTGCTCAGGGCAGAATGCAAATGCACATGCAGGCTGAAGTCGGGTGCAATTCCGTCCCTCAATCATCCAATATCGCTGCCCATTCGCTGGTGCATGCGCCGAGAAAAAGGAATGCCACACCTGCAGGCTGCATCTGGTAGCGGGTGGCGGCTCCCTACAGCTCCCTACAGCAAGCAATGGAGCAAGCAGCTCAACTCCCTAGGGAGAGACTGGAGTCTGTCTGTCTGGGGGCCGGGGACCAGGTACAAGTGCACGCACGTACTAAAGTGACGGGCTGAGCTGGATGGATTTGATGGCTTGGGCACTTGTTACGCCACCGCTGCTGTGCTCCTACAGGCGGTTATGAGCCTGACATCAATGCAATGGAATCAATAGTTGAGTGCTTGGCTCAATTCAATCCATCCATGGATAGTACACACTGGCCAGGCACAGGCATTGAATATTTGTGTCCATTCTGCCTAGGTACATGTAGTAGACGAGATCAATGCTGGCCCCCTCCCATCCCCTCTCCTCCCCCTGGAGAAAAGAAAAAAAAAAAAAAAAAAAAAACAGAGGCCAGCCCCAGTCAAAAACGGTGGGCCACAAAAAAGGATCCATCATGGATCAAATCAATCCAAATGGAACAAGATTGGAACACTTGACCGAGTTGCAGCAAACCGCTGCATTGCATGAATTAGCCGCTGGTGCCTGTAAGCTCTAGCGCATCCGGACCCCTCCCATCCGGCCATCCGACCGCTGCGGCCCTTCTGAGAGATCCTGGGACCTGCATTGGGCTGCCGCTACAAGCAGTATAACCATAACTGCTAGCCAGGGGGACGTTGACACCGGCACCTCTGCCATGCGGTCGCCTAGCGTGGGCCAACGCAAATTATCTTGCCCAGCCCGTCGTGCCATCCATGGAATACGAAGGCGGACCAGACGGGATATGGAGAAAGTCAATTGAAGTGTCAAGGGAAGAAGGGAACCTTGGAGAGAAGAAAAACCTTGAAATTAATTGACTCTCCTCCACCGATTACCTCTACTGAGTAAGTCATACGGATGATACCCGTAGCATGGATGGATTTCGACGTGCTGAATAAAAACATGGCGAAGTTACTCCGGCGTGTCCACTGCAAAATCCATCCATCAAATTGATTTCATTCCGCCTCGGCACTTGCATCCTACCAGCATCACATCGTATCTCATCCATCGCTCTCACTTATGGCTAGGTAGGTAGCTATGGACGGAGCAAGGCCACGTTTCGAAACCATAAAATCTCCGCCTGATCTCCAGAAAGCTCATGCGTCAACCTCCAGCTGCGGGCGATTGGCGCGCACACTCCCGCATCAGCTGCGTCATCACTACTACCTGTAACTACTAGCAGCAGCTTTTCTTGGACGCAGTCTCCGTCCGCCGGCCGTCGGCGAAACCCAGCTGACTGGTCTCTTATGTCGATCCCAGGGCGGACTCGGGCTCCTTTCGGCTCTCTCTACGCAACATTTACTCGTCATGCTCCGTGCAGCAAAAGCCCTTCGGCCATTGCCTTGGTAGGAGACAGGACAAGGGGGCCAAAGTCGAAGCCAAGGCCAAAGCAACATGCAGGTGCATTAGCAAAGTACCGTGCCGGTTCGGACGTGAAAGCTGCTTGTTGGCTCTCGATGCAGCCCTACGGGGGGCCGTTGGCTTGTCTCGTCTGGTCTCGTCTCTCTGTCTCTCGCACATCTTCGGCTTGAGACGCGTTTGAGGACCGGGAGAGCAGAGACGAAACACAAAGTCTTATTCTCTTGTAACCATTATCTCACCATTATACATGAACAGGCCCGGGGAGCTGAAGCAGAGAGAAGGGAAGAAGCAAAAAAGAAACAAAAAAAGCCCCATCAAGCCTCTGCCGACTCCTGGCCCGTCTCATTTGCCCAGCTTGCGTGGGCCCCCTGTTCGGCCTCAATTTGCTTGTGATGACCCGGCCGCGTCCCCAATGCCTGGCTCCTCCCGTGCAGGTCGAGTAACCAGAACCAGGCATCTGGGCGAATTGTCATCAAGGAGCTCAAAAAACACCGAGAATCGCAAATGGCAACACCTGTATGCAAGGCACAGACTCCTTGCATGTCGTGTCAGAACCTGGAGGCCGTGCGTTGCGGGAGCTGTCGTCCACCCATTGTTTACTTGCCCTCCCCAGGGGGAAGCTCGAGATGTGTTCCAGCGGCCAAAGAGAGCGAGCATTAACCGCATTCCTGTTTTGTCTTGTCTGGTGTCTTACTGTATTTGATGTCTTGTCTTGAGAGTTTGTCAGCTTCACCCTGGCTTTGCCCATCGCTATATTACCTACCTGTAAGCCGTCCCGGTCCAACTGCAAGTTGAGCATCCGTACATGTACCAGCTCTATTATCATTGTGGGAAATTGCCGAGTCGATGGACAAAGCGCCCCGCAACCTCATGGCCTCTCTTTTTTTTTTTTTTCTCCCCTTCCCATGCGGTCAAGATTTCCTCCCCCTTCCCGTTCCCTTTCCGCTACTGCAGCATCCTTGACAGGGAAATTTCCTGGGCTGCATGTACGCGGAGAATCTCATCTCAAAGGTACCTGTCCAAATCACGGGCACTCGTCCTTGTCTAGGTATGTTCTTTATCCTCAACTGTAATACGCCGTAATCGTACCCGAGTTCCATCCCAATAACGTCCAGGATCCGGCTGTCGCTTCTAATAGCAATCGGCTAACGCACCTCTACCTAAACTTTTACCCAAAGCGTGCGCAACCTGAAGTACATACAAATTGAACCCATCCACTTGATCCATCTGATCTCACATGCTGCTCTGCACGCTCCTTTCCTGCATGTGTTGTTGTCCTTTTTTGTTTTCTCACTCAGCCCGAGGCAACAACTGACTCGTGCCTTGGCTGCAGAGTGACGGCAATTTCTTCTCCCTCGCATCATTAGGGGCTTTTTGCACTTTTGTAGAATAGGACAAGCCAGTCAGCCACCGTAGCTGCATTGCCGCATTGACCCTCAAGCTGTCTTAACACTTTTCGATAGGTGCACGTAGATGTCAATGGATACTGATTAATAACAGCTTCACCCATGTGGAAAAGACCGACAGCTTCAGGTTAGCATGATGCACTTACACGAAGCGCCTACTATGGTAGCACAAGGCGGTACATGAGTCTGCCTATATGTCTATTTCCTTATGCGACGGATGCGCACGATTAGTTTCATAATTGTTTGTTTCTCAGCCCACCGCCACCGCCTCTCTCTGAATTGCACCTAGCCGTAACAAGAGCAGTCGAGACGCCGAGCCTGCATATGCAATCTAGAGTCACCAGATGGTAATTTGGGCTCAACACCACCAATTTTTGGCCCCGGACGAGGCTTTCGGTTGCTTTCTATCTGCCCCCACGCCCTTGACAGACATCACTATTGCATGTAGGTAGTAGTAGTAGTCAACCTTGTGAAGCAAGCATCCAGTATCTCATCTCGGTTCCCGCCGCCTCTCATCAACCAGATTTCGGCCCAATTTGACACAAGAGAAAACACATAATAAAAGCAATAAAATCCCCCCACGTCGCTCTGATGCCATGGCTCCTTTCCCACCATCTGCTCTGTTATCGCCAGTCAAAATTGGCTTAGAAAACCCCCTCTCCCTCACTGTGTCTACCTGGTGGTGCGGCTCTCCCTTGCATATCATAGTTGCCAATCACCGCATCCAAGTGCATCGACCCCGCCTCGGCTCCCTTTCGAATCATGTCCAGTTGTCGACACCAACCATGTCCTGCAGCCATAGCAGGCCATTGGCAGAATCTCTGGTGAATGGCGTCGCTTAGAGAGTGAAAAGCAAGGTTCCCGATGTCCTTAAAGCCGATCCTGCTTGACTTGACATGCTAGGCAAACGAATTGCCACCAGGGAGAGTGCCGTATTCCCCGTAAGATAGTGTCAAGATTAGAATTTTAGAACACACATGTATACAATGTTAGTCAGTATCATTCAGTAAAATTAGACATATTTCTCAAATAAGATGGGGCGGTAATGGCTGCAATGCGTCCTTGCTACACTTTACCATTAAAACGTACTATAGTCAACATATGAACTTAATTGACAAAATAATCTCGCAAAGTCGTTCAAAAGGCCGTTTAAAGCCTGGTAATGAACATATGATTCCACAAACTGGATACATAATGGAGCAAACGAGCAGAGAGAAAGGCCGTAAGCGTGGAAATATTAAAAAAGCAGCCGTTTGATGAAGCTGATAGACAAACTAACTTGGCGAAAGCCGTTCAAAAACCATTGCTAAACCAGGGAAGTGGAAGTCTGCATACCCAACCAAGCACATAATGGGAGTAAGACGGTCCGCATGGAAAGATGTTATAAAGTAGCCGTTAAATGGAGTTGATCGACAAAATAACCAGACAATATAACTTGGCAAATACTGTCGAAAGCATGACAAGAAATCGGACTATATAAGATGCCCACGTTCTTCATCCTACGTCCAGTTTCTACACATCATCTATCATCCCCCAGTTGCAGATAGCTCAATATTCTATAAACTCTTTACTAAGAAAAGGTCCAACTCTCGGTTAGTATCGTTAATACAATATAACTCTTTTGCTACCTAATTCATGTTTGATTCCACGATGCAACGAATTGCAACTATCGCAGCGTTTGCGGTAACCTGCATTGCTTTGCATTCTGGACAAACCCGATACGAATATTACACAAATAACACTCTGCTACCAATACCTGATATCTTTAGTCCTATAAAGCTCAACGGCATCCCTATTAGCACCAAGGTGCTCCATCCGTCTTCTGCAAATGGGGCAATTCATTTGCTCAAAGATGGTCATCACTTTGATCATGAAGATTGGGCTCTCTCTGGGAGAAATGGCATTTCCTGGGAGTATCGACCTGACTTGAAGCACGATCGGGCAAAAAGGGCTGGCACTGCCCAAGGCTTCTATAATTTTGAGGGGTCTGATGGCTTTTGCACACAATAACCTAAACCGCCGATGACGCTGGTTTCATAGCGAAGCCTTTCAACTACGCTTCTACGCAAACTAGCCTTCAGTGGGAGTATCTTAACGAGAGTCACGGCAAATTCGTTATAGAATTCGCAAGTAGTGTTATCGAGACGGTTACTGATATCCTTCAAGGTGATCTTACGAATATTTTCTTCAATGCTTTGGAGATTTTTGCTTAGATATGTCACGCTGATGAGGCTTTCTGACTAGCCTAGGGTCGATTGATCACTTAGACTGGTGACTACATGTGTAAGCCGAGGCTACACTGGGATCCTGTTATAAGAGAGGCCAAGTTTTCTGGAATTACTTAGAAGAAACAAGACATTGAAGTTATTCTCCTTGAGAACACAGCCACGACAACCAGAGTAAATGCTCATTGGGCCTGTTCTCGCTGTGTGGTCCCTATCGTTTGAAACTCGCCGCAATCACGAAATATTACCTCTGGGCACTTGCCACGGGTATACGATCAAAGTAGTGTCCGCTACACATTGCAAATTATGAAGTTTTCATGACAATTGCCCCCTCTCCCCTCTATTCTTTGCCCAACCTTGGGCAAGGCAAATCTGCATTTCTCTCCAACGCATTCCATCACGCTCAAGGTAAGCGTAGCATCTACTGCCTCTGATTGGCCTTTGGCGACTGCAGTGTAACTGGTAATGTGTAATGATCTGGATTAGAAGGCCTTTTGTCTCTCTCTTCTCTCCCCTTTCCAATTTTACGTTGCGAGGCGCCATGAGAACTGGATTGTGAATCCTTATTGTCTACGAGAGGATGCAAAACGCGCGTTCGATTACATCGGTAGAGCCCAGCATCGCCAAGACATATCGCACCTTGGCAATTCGGCATTCATCCACTTGCATCAAGAGCCTTGCAACTGAAATGCCCGATTTCCATAAAAGCTATCATTATACGGCGATATATGTCCTGCGACTGGAGCGCACAAACATCAAAGTCTGAAGCAGAGGAATGTCAGGTGTACAAGCGCGAAACGCGTCTTACAGGGCTTTTCATTTTTCTACGAAATTGCGTGAACAGAACTTGTCCATCCTTAACGCAAAGAACCAACAGGGCGTCAAATTAATTCATTTACATATACACATCCAGAGCAACAATATGGTTCAAAGAAGAATGGATATCCAATTGCATCAACTCACCGAGTCGCAATGCATTCCAGCAGCCAAAGAATGAGGGAATCCGCGAGCGTTTTTACCCCAGAATGTATGGCAGACCGTGTTCCAAGTGGATCACTTTATAGTGTCGCTGACGGCCGAATCGCAGAGAATGTGGTGTCTAGAAGGGGAAATCGGCCAGGACAACGTGCATTGGTGCGGCCCGACGATAGGCGACCCATTTTGCGCTTCGCATCAGGGGTGCGACAAAAGAGAGAGAAGAAGAGCGAGCGAGACAAAAGAGAGGCCCCCCCGCAGAAGAATTTGTTTCTGGGGGACCAGATGTGTACGTGTATGCTGCCCACTCACTCACTCACTCAATCACGCCCCCTCTCACTCACCGGCTTTTTTTCTTTTCTTTTTCTTTTCGCTGCTCCTTTCGTCCCGCCTTTTACCTAAGTTGTTAGTTGGTTGCTTCGTCTTTGTCCGGTGATGGTGTTGGGACGGTAGCGAATGGGATCAGATGGCGATTGAGGCCGGACTGAGGCTGGGGCTGGGCGCTGCTGCAGGCGAGAATTTAGTTGATCCGATCTGCATCTCTCGCACACAACAAGCTTCAAAGGCAACAAAGGGAGATGAAGGAGTTTTGGCGGGCGTCACGTGTGGATGATACAATCCGTTGATCGATGACGCCCGTCCATGACAAAGACTGGAGAACACGCGGCTGCCCGGTACGTACTGAAGCTGTCCTTGGAACGTCGAGCTACATGAATACATGTACATGTAGCCGCACCTCTGCGAAGCCGGAGCTTACCTGTACTGTACTGGGTCCCAAGATGCTGAGAAGAGGGCACCACAGCGAGGTATGTACCTGTACAGCTACCAGACGGGTTCCAAAAGCACCAGACAGAAGCGACTGACTGTACTGTACTGACCCCATCCGCAATGGACGGGACGTATGCCCTCGCGGCGAGTTCCAAAAGGTTGAGACGCTTTGGGCCTAGAGCTGGGGCGCATGAAACACACCTGGGAGTGGCTATATTTCGCATGCACCTCTTAGCTTGCGCGGAGCTCACCCTGGACTGCCTGGACCGCGTCTGATTGGCCATGATAGCTCACTGGTAGCTAGTCCGCAGCTCCAGCCTCATTGCACACACGCCCCCTCGCTGTTGAGGGCCGTAGGATGAGGATTTTGTTTGCTGCCAGAGTTTCTCGCTGCCGTCGCCGTACAGGTACATGCTGGAAAAAAATGGCTGGGCTGAGCTGCGGCTTGGCTGGGCGACTCCCCTTCGCCATCGGCCTGCTCACGCCTCTTGCGCGCCTCTCGCTCATCTTTTGTCTCTGGCCTTGTCCACCCTAAGCAGCCGCCATGTCACCGGAGATGCTGTCCCGACAGCCAGACTCGCGGCAGAACCCGCCGAATCTGTACCTTGCCTCCGATATGTCGGTACCTTGGAGGCTCGCTGGCAGCATGGTGGACAGAAGCTGGGCTGCCCATTGACTCCATGTTGTAGCTCCCCTACCTAACTGTACCTTAGTTCCCATCAGTACTGTAGCAGTAGGCCCAGTTGGAGTAAGACTGGCCTGGCCCTCCCCCTCCCTCTAGCTGTCGCGCGCTCTCTCTCTCGCTCGCAGTCTGTCACTCCCCTACCTTGTCTTTCTTTTTTACCTCCCCTTCCTCTCTCTCTCTTCTTCTCTTACTCTCTCTCTCTTTGTTCCCTCTCACATATAAAAGGCATCCATTCCCCCCTCTAGGATTGCCCAGCGTCCCTCGACCAAGACTTGCCCTCTCCAATTGCGTATCTCTACACCACCCGTCCCGTCTTACACACAAACCCACACCATGTCCACCCGGAAGCGCACCCGTGACGAGGAGGACGAGGAAGAGCTCGTCTCCCTCCCCGAAGAGGATGATGGAGAAGAGGAAGAAGAGTAAGTCATGACAAGACCCTGCTTTAGCTGCCGGCCATGGTTTGGCCAATGTGCGAGATGCGCCTGGGGCCAATTGAACATTGCTGCCGCTGGTGTTTCGCACAGCCCACGATGCACTCTGGCACCCGCCGGAGAGCTACAGCAGCATCTTCTCTAGTCGCAAGACTGCAAAACACTTGGCGAATGGACTGTGCTGACATTTTTTGCAAGATACGTCTCCACTGGAGACGAAGATGACAACGAAGATGACGACGGAGAAGAAGAGGAGGAAGAGGAGGGTGACGTGGAAGATGAAGAAGAGGAGGGAGACGCTGAAGAAGCTGCTGAGGGTGCAGATGCTCCAGTGAACGGTGAGTTGAAGCCACCCCAATATCCATATCCATCATCAAGGCCGCTCCCTTCGCGCGGTAGCAGCAAGATGCATTTGCAAAGCCGTCACAAGACACCACAGCTCCACGACGCACTGCTGCTACCTCCCATTTCTCCCACATCAATATCATCGATGCGGTGGCGCCGTTACTAACAAGCGAGCAGGCGCCCAACCACCTCACAAGAAGCGCAAGACGGTTGAGGAAGAGGTTGCCAACGGCGAGGGCGCCGACGAGGAAGACGCAGAGGAGCAAGAGGAAGAAGAAGCGGCAGAGGACGATGCCGAAGAGGCCGCCGAAGACGAGGCTGAGGAAGAGGCCACTGAAGCTGCTGCTGAAGCTGCCGCCCCAGTCAAGGACGTCAAGGCCCCCGAGGTCGCTCAGGCCACAGACACACCAGAGCCCAAGGCAGTGACTGCTGGAGGCGACGAGTAAAAGAAACTTTTGATGTTGTTTTCTTTATAAGTCCTTGAAGCTGCACGCACTAGGCAGACAGAATGGGAGTACCTTGTTGTACCATGTTTGGCAATATCGGGGGGAGTACATCTGGATATGGATTTTGGACGGGCGTAACAGGGCCCTATTAGTCAATAATGTGATATTGATCTCTCACCAACGTGCCTTAGTCTTCGGCGGGCGCATGCCTCTGCAAGTAGTCAATGTAAATGCTTCAGGGTTCAGCTTCATTTGTCTTTTATCACCTGGATATGTATCCGTCGAGTGCGCGCATGGTTATTGCCAGGTAGGTAGCGATGCCCAGCTGCCTTTGTCGCGTATCATTTCGGGCCGGGCCGTACAAATGTCCGGGCGTCGGAACGAGGATTGGCGAAATCAAGTGTCAATGTCGCATTTGTGTCTCCATACATACTGGATTTTAATACGAAGTACGAGTTTGCTCTACGAATACATAGAGATTTTTTGATGATTGGTCATTTTGTGAGGTTAAGACCTTAGTACGTTTTCAACACAGGCGATAACATGAAGCGCAGTCGGCTTCCAAGCAGCGTTCACTCGCGAATGACCAAAAGGTGGTTTGATTTGTTATATTCAAGTTCTTTATACCATGAGTAAAAAAAAAAAAAAAAAAAAAGGGATTGATAACGGAAAAAGTAGGTTTGCACATCATTGGCTTTAATTACATTCAATCGAAATTCCATCTACCTCGGCGCCCAGCGTTGGCGAGAACATGGTCTAATGCAAGTTGCAGTTCTAATCGCTCTCTCTAGGCTCTCTGCCGCCAAAAACGCATGCCGCTCAAAGACGAAAGAGAAAAAAACACAAAAAAAAAAAAAATTTCATCACAAGGTCCTCACTCTCGCTTTATAGTTTTTGTTTCGGAGGTTTGCTCTCCGCCTCATCCTGCTCCTCCCTCAAAATCTCCGCAATCTGCTGCCTCAGCTCCTCCGCCAAGTGCTCCGCCTCATCCTCGTCCAATTCCTCCCTCTGCCCCCTCCCAAACATGGTGAAGCTCTCGCGATACCGGCCGCTGGCACGAATCTCGGGCCGCGGGATCAGATGGTAGTGCATATGCGGTACGACCTGCGCCGCCGCCGCGCCGTTGTTCTGCACCACGTTCCAGTCGGCGATGCCCGTGGCGCGCACCAGCGCCGCGGACAGCAGGCGGATGTAGCCGCCCAGGTCGCGCGCCTCCGGGTTGGTCACGTCCGTCAGTTTGGGCCGGTGGGCGCGCGTGCAGAGGAGCAGGTGGCCGTGGCTGAGGGGCAGGATGTCGAGGAAGGCGATGAGCGCGGGCGTGGACAGGACGACGAAGGACTGGGGCGCCGTGAGGTTCGAGGGGAACGGGTTGGGGGGGTCGATGGGGGAGAAGGGCGGGTGGGCGGCGGCGATGGCGCAGAAGGGGCAGTCTTCTTCGCGGATCGTGGGAGGGGGGAGCGACGGGTCGAATGAGGTGTGCATTTTTGCGCTTTGAGAGTGTTGTTGTGTTGTCTCTCGTTGTGTTGATGGCGATACTGCTTGCTGTGCCGTAGGTGTGTGAATTGGACGAATTCCCACGAGAGAGAAAAGGAACAAGGGATTGGATTGAGTCGCCCTCTTCTTTCTGCTGCTCTGCTTTTCTTAGCTTGGCCCGAGACAATGGTCAGCTAGAATCGCAGGGCATGGTATCGATCGAATTGGCGGAAAATCGAAGTCGTAATCAACAGATCCCAGCAAAAGACCAAACCCGCTAAATCGACTGCGGCTAAATCACTGGACTGGATTTTGCAAGGCCTTCAGTCTGCAGTGAACAATGTCGGATTTTCTCGTAGACTGATGGTGATGATTGTTCAAATGGCCATATGTACAGGAGTAGCCAATCGGTTGTAGAGAAATGATCGTAAGATGGGCGATGAGAGAGCGTCTGGGGTCGGCAGGCAAGTCAAGCAGTTGCCGAGGTACTGTATGCTGAGCGTTCGCGGTAGAGCTGTGATTACTTAATGCTCGAAGCTGCTTTTGTGAAGAATCGAACTAACCTGCACAGATGGTTCGTGGGGAAATAGTGACCCTATGTAATAGAGAATTGATCACGAACGATTAATTTTCAACAATTGTATTCAGCTATTCAAGAGTCTAGATATCACAGCCTTGTCTCGTGAATTTAGGCAGCTGTTGAATATCTGCAGGACAAAAGAGGTCACTTCCAAAGTGTAAAGCTCCTACATCACCACCCCCCACCGCCCAATTCTGCCGGACAAAATTCTCCTCCACCGCCACTATTTTCTCTCCTCTTCCATCACTCATCATCCACCCGCAAACCATCGCCCACACAAACCAGCCATCCTCACTCCCACATCCTCACCATCTACATCGAAACAGCAGCAGCCATGCCTCGCGAAGAATACCAGGTCCCTACCGCTGGCGCCGGCGCCTCAGCAGGAGGCATGACCCGCGGCGCGACCGGCGGCGAGCGACACGAGTCCCGCTCCGTCATGACATACATCTGCGGCGACTGCGGCGGCAACGTCACCCTTAGCAAGGACGCGCTGGTTGCCTGCCCGCACTGCGCCGGCCGAGTGCTGTACAAGGAGCGTACCAAGCGGTGAGTTTTTTTACGTGCTTGTGCCGGAGACTGAGGTTTTGCTGACGTTATGGGGTATAGAATGGTGCAGTTCGAGGCTCGATAGGCGCATAGATGGACCGGAAATACTACTCTCAGCGGGAACCGCAGTAAAGAACAATTGAAAAGCAAACGCACATTATAGATCGCACTCGAGGAGTTTTTGGGAGATAATCAGGGATTCACAAAGGGAGTCAGATGTCATTATCAAAGGGGAATTTTTGATATTACTTGTTATGCAAATGCGCGCCCCAAAAGCCGCCTAGATTTTTTTTCTTCTTCTTTTTGCGCACCTCAAATCATGAAAATTTTACATAGCCAAGTTCCTTTGCACCCGTGTGTTCACCTGGTTCCCAAAAAACGCCGTAACTACCTGTACGCCTCTCCAAATGCCCCCTCACGTTTGCGTTACCGCTGCATGTGCAGGTATTTCGCAAAGCTCGCGTCGCCCAAGATGCCTTCGTCCTTGCCTTCCATGGCGGCGGCATATCTAGCCTGTAGACCCTCTTTGGTTGTTTCGTCATCCTCATCGTCATCATCGTCGTTGTCGCTTGGGACATCCACGTCGTCGTCATCGTTGGTGACCCTGATAGGTCCCTTCTCGGCCACGTTCTTGGCGTCAACCGATATGCCCGACATGCCCTGCATCATCTTATCCAACTCCTCTTCACGGGTCTTCTTCTTCCGCTCCTCCCTCTCTTCCCTTCGTCGCTCCAGCTCCGGCAGATAATCGTCCAAAAACTCCTTTCGCTTTTCCTCAACGGCCTCGAAGAACTCGTCGATACCCGTTCCCATTCGCGAGCTAACACCCACCATGCTGAGATGCGAATAGAACTCCTCCAGTACCAAACTCATAGAGTTGAGTAGGCTGCCCATGTAACCGCTTCCACCACTTCCAAAGCCTTCTTGGCCTCCAAATGTGTCGGAATTCTCATCGCGGCGCAGAGCTTCTTGGAATGCTTCGAAATCTGTCATCCACTCCTTAGCAAAAGAAGCGTCCTTGACATCGGTCTTGTTGAAGACGAGGATCATGGGAAGTTTCGTCTTGTAGAGAATGGAACAGGCATAGAGCATGTTGGACATGAACGTCGATGTCGAAGCAGTTCGTGGTGTATCAATGATGTAGGCGATAACGGTAGGGAATGATGATGCAAGGGATTCCAACAGAATAGTTCCCGAGGCGGACCATACAAAAGCTTCGATTTGACCCGGCGTGTCAACCAGGATTCGGTCGATGGGCTTGCGTTCGGGGTGTTCGGGGTCGGGCTTTGAGCGCTTCTCCAGCAGATTGACAATCTGATCGACCTTTGTAGCGAAGAGGTTGAGCGATGTTAGAATACCTCCGTTGGGTCCTAGGTTGTACTGCTTCATGACCTCCTCATAGTTGACCGAGTCTCGAATGTCGATGTTGCTTTCGAAGGGGACGTTGAGAACCGCGGGGTCAAGATTGATGACATAGGGAGGTGTATTTTTTGAGTGAAGATGAGCGTTGATTCTTTGCATAAAGGTCGTCTTGCCCGAGCCTATGATTTGGCGCAACAGCGTTAGATGGTTGCATGATGCGAGGAGAGAGTCGCTGCTATGGAAGCTTACCAGCCATGCCAACGCAGACAATGGCGGGGGGCGACGACGCCGATATCGATGGGGCGCCGCCGGTAGATGATGAAGCCATTGTGAAACTCGAGAGAGCTGTAGTTTATCGTATAGAGACGCCTCGAGAAACGAGAAACTGTAGTCAGAAGTGCTTAGAAATGCGGTTGGGTGAAGTGGTAAAAAGCTTGGCGGGTCGAAATTTTGGATAGAGGAAAGATTTCAGCGGCTTCAGCGATAAAGAGCTGCCCCGCCTGCTCCCTCACTGAGCTGCCCACTAACGGAACCCCTACGGCGTACAAGGCACGGAAACAGCCCCGCGGTGACGTCTGTAAAATCCCATTCGATGTAATTATATAAGGTAAGCAGCCTCAACCTCCATCACCAACCTCAATACCGTTGCATGCTGTTTAATATCTTGGATATGATATGCTGCCCTCTGCTAATCGCTAGGTTTCAATGTGCCCCCCTTTTAAAATCCCGTCCACAGAGCCTCCCTCCAAATCGAAGGTCCCAGCCGGTTCCCCCTTTTGCAGCCATCGTTCCCCTTATTAACCATCTGTGCCGCTGCTGCGGAATGTTGCGCAAAGAGCCGCATAGTGGTGCGTCAGATCAAGCACATGCTGTGGCAGGCTTGTTGCTTGGATAATGCTCCTGACTTTGACGGCGCCTTCATCCTCGATCAAGGTCCGGATGGTATGCAGGAGCTCCGGGCTGAATTCGCTGTACCACCTGTACTGCCAGGTAACCAGTCGAATCACTGCCGCCACCGTCTCTCTCGTGCTCTTGGTCTTTTCAAAGACGCGGAGCACGCCGGCCAGGGCCTTGGGGCTGAAGCGGAGGGACAGGCAGGCGCGGTATGCCTCAGCGGCCTCATCAAAGTGCTGCAGACG